CCCTGGTCAAAATTCTGTGCATAAGAGTACGAATCATAAGTAAACCTCATCGAAGAATTCGAGCATGCGAAAACTCTCTTCTTTTCCTTCTTAATCTTCTTCCATAATTGTGTCCAAATGGGTGCTTTTGATCGGCTCATTGATGGCAAACCATTGTACCTTACGAACCGATCATAATTTTGAGTACTCGAGTAGCTTCTAAGACAGCAAACTTCACCATTGGTGCACCATATACCTGGCTCCATTGTATAAAGATTTTAATGTTTCTTGCTTCGACTCGAAATGGAATATGTGTGTTTGTGCTCGGGTTTGATCTAGCACGAAGTCGTAAGGATATGGGATAAGAGATGGATCTAAGAACTTGTAGTTGGTTTTGAGTAGAAAGTAGGGTTCAATATATGCATGGATTGGACAATTTATAGTAGATAATGACGCAACTTTATGTGATATGATCTGATCTGAATCATCTGATCTGATTTTGTAGTGTCATTACTTTTTCATTGTGGGAAAAATGGCCCACAAGGGCGATGATACATGTGCCATTTTCAGGGATAAAATTGTCATTTCAAGTTCCAAGGATACTTTTTCCTTGTGCGAAACGGTCGAGTCCACCTAGGTAATGATGCAGGTCAGATGTGACATTTCAAGGATAAACTTGTCATTTGAATTTAGAGGTTGGTGCGGGGTCTCAAAGCCGCCGCTTTGATATTAATTTAATCAAATTTAATAATTAATTTTAATTAAATATGGTTTTAATCACATATTTTATAAATTTTTATCAAATTAAAGGAAAAAAAAATTGATTTTAATCCTCATGTAATAACAGGGGCTAAGAAAGTGTTAGAAACGGTATTTGTAAATGTTCAATAAATTTGTGATGTCAAACTTTAACAAATTAACATCCCTGATTTTAGTCCCACTTGGTGCAATGATTTTATAAAATTTATATTTTCACAAACTTAATAATGAATTTTCACACGCATAATCATAACTTTTTTATATTTTTTAACCACATATTTTTCAAACAAAAAAATTGTTACTTTTCACAAATTTTTTTCCAAAAAATTACCATCAAACATGCCCTCAATTTTGTAGATATGAATATACTCATTCTTTGTGTGCAGGACATGCACACTCAGGCGCGGATCCAATACAGGGCGAGCACCCATAACGGCGTGTATTAGATCCGCTCGGAGAAAAAAAAATTTGTTGACTAGATTAAATTTTTACCTTATATTACTTGTAATTCATTTTATTTTCAAAAATATCTTGCAGTTCAATTAGTTAGAGCTTGTATGTACATATTTGAATTCTCCGATTCGAATTCCTTATCAAGGAATTTGTTGTATATTATTCTTATACTATAATTTTTACCAAAATTCAATAGGAAGGAAAACAAAGGGGATTTGAACCTGTGACATCTTGCAAGGATTGTTGTAAATTTAACCATTTTGCTACTTCTTATGTCACTAAACTTAACAAAACAATATTTGTTAGGTTTTAACTGTTTTAGTTCAAATCCGCACTCTTCCTTTGAATTACACAAAATTTGGCAACAATGTCATTTGATGAGTCCTGTTTATTCTTATAACAGAAATCTCTATGTTCAATTTGAACAAAATAATTATTATATTTAAACTTTAGGTTTTGTTCAATTATCCTTTTTTTCAAAATAAGTTTTTCTCTCTTCTTTTCATCCACGTATTCTTCAATAAAATAATATTACATTCAAATTCAAAAACTTTTCTTTATTTTTAACTACACATTCTCCATCAAATTACTATTCCAAAATGTATTTTTTGCAAAAAATGAATATCAAGAGGACTCTTAATATTTTATTGCGACCGACGATAGAAAAACAATGATTTCCCGTGCTGTGTCAAGCTCCTAGATTCATCCTTGTGCATGCTCATACGTTATTTAAGTTTGGATAAAATTTCTTCTCGATAAATTAGACTTACTTTAAATTAAAGTTCAGTAAAACCGAAAGGTACAATAATTTATACTTATTTCTATGTATCGACGTACTTGTATTTCCTTTTTCTTTTGGATATGGTTACGCAGCCTACAAAAGAGAAAAGAGCAAAGTGGGTGTTGGAGTCATCAAAGAGTTGTCATTTGCTTTTGCTTTTTCTCCTTTTCTCTTTTTCTTTTATTATTGTGTTTTCCAATTTTATGAATTTTTTTTTTTTTTTTTTGGGTCTTTTGAAGTAAAAGAGATTTTGCGTTCTCCTTTTTCTCTTCCATTAATTTGTTTCCATTTCGGTGTAGAAATAGAGAATTATGCACTAATATTTGATTTGGTAATGTTGTTTTAAAAAAAGAAATTTTTTTATTGTGTTGTAAACAAAAAAAAAAAAAAAAAAAAATTAAGTAAAAGAAAAAAATCTCCAAAGTCGTAACATTACAAAATAAAAGGAAGAGTTCGTAAAAGTAGAAAAGGAATTAATTTATTTAACCATGGTTAAAATTGGTACTTTAATTACAGATATTTAAGCCCCGTTTGGGAGGGATTTAATGAATTAATTTTTTGATCGTTAGGAGAAAAATGAGGTTCACCTGTGAGAGAAAAAGTCAAAAATTACTGCTGAAATAGTGAAATAACGATCAAAAAATTAATTTTTTGGGGTAAAAAAATCCTTCCCAAACAAACTGTTAAAAAAGTTAAAAGTAAAATTCAAAATCTAACTCTTTCCCGCTGCTCAAAATATGCCAGAGGGTACATATTCTTCTTTAAAGTATTTTTATTTTTAAATTTATTGAACATCTAAAATATTGTTTGAGAGTTAAAGATTGGGCTCTAAAATCAATCACAAACGAAGCCTAAACAATTTAGAGGTTAGCGTTCAATAACAAAATTGTAAACATAACCCCTTATTATAATAAAATCAGTTGAGAGTTGAGCAATGTTTCCCTTCTTGTGACACTCGTAACTTTATTACGCTGTCATCGCCCGGCTCACCATTGCCAGCAACAATCACCCTAGAAATGGAACCAAATTCCACCCATTACCAACATTTTCTAATTATTCTTCTCCATTTCTTTCGCATACACGTTAAAATTGAAAACCAGATTTAGTTCAGCGCTACTCGAACAAAATTCTTTATTTTCACAATCAAAAAGGTAAAAGTAAAGATAAACATAAACATCGACAATGAATGTAATGGTGACGATGATCAGTGGCTGTGGAGAAAATGTATGCGGTGATGGTGGTGTAGTAGCATATAAAGTCAAAGATGACTTTAATGATCGTGACAGTGTTGTCAGTTTTATTGGCGATGATCAATGACACGGGAAGATGGTGGTGAGATGAGGTTCGGCATGGGAAAGGGGGGAGGTGGCAGTTATCTCAACTGGCAATTGTTTTATCCTGTCACATAAATCAAAGAAGAGGTCTATGAGTTGAGCTCTAATTCTTACTCTAGAAAGTAAAAATAAAGGAAAGGAAATCAATTCACGTCCACACATTGTCGTAGGTAAAGTTTATACAAGTGGTGCATTGGCTAATATAGGCAGCCGTAAAGTTGATCAAAGGAAGAGGAGTCATCCCGGAGGCATAGGCTCCATTACGGGTAACATGAATGGATTTGCAAGCCAGGATCCAAGCGCAGTTAGTGCATTACGAGGAGATTATTCATTCTATACTTTGACGTTCTTGGACAAAAACACGAATAAAAATCAGCAAGTAGCATTTTGTATTGCAATTCTCCCCCCACAACCAAAATAGCGACGTTTCATGTGCAGCAACAATACAGGACTCTGGACCAGAATCAATATACCAACTATTTTTCACAACTATCGATCTACTTTGTTTCTCTAAAACAAAAGAATATACACGTGATATATAATAGTATGTTACCATCGGACCATGATGAGCTGTTGTATCGTAGGGCAGACACCTACCAAAATCTAACGACATGTAAATGGTGTCTTTCCATTTCCTTCAGGATGCCGTAACAAATGCACACTCCTAGCTCTCTTTGGAAATCTGCATGCATTATCAAATAATCCAATACTGTCAGAAATAGAATTACCTAAGTCATTTAAGTTTCCTAATAGAACAGAATACTCACAAGAATGTCACTTTACTAGTCATGTGTGTCAACACTACGTTGGCCACAACCAACCCGAGATGGAGAAAGGGAAGGGAAGAGTAGGGTTGGAAAGGGGAAGTAAAGTATTGATGGTTTTTATGCAGTGCACTGGGGAGAATTAACAACTGCGTGCCATTAACTATATTAACTATAATTGAAAGTAATGGACAGATAATTGCTCCTCCCATTATATGCATGCAAGAAATGATCGATCAAAATGCAGGTGAAGCCAGTTAAGAATGGGAACTTTACCTCTGGGTAGCAACTTTGTCGGGCAATTTTTTGGTTGCGTGTATTTACAATGACTTCGCATGATATTTGAGTCTGCAGAAGATCACAGTAGGATTACGAGGAATTGATAAATTTGATATTTGATCTGCATATTGATCTTTCTATTCTACATGGTCGATAACAAATCCATATGTACATAAAAGAATATAATTTAAGGGGATTTAGTAAAATATTCGAACCAAAACATCAGAAAAGAAGAAATATGAAAGAAAGAAAGCAAAAATTGAACCATCTCATATTTGAAGACATAAAAAGGAGAATTTGCTGACTTGATTCCAGAACTGGCAGAATGCTGTCTTAAATAGTATCAGTTAAATGACTCCACAAGCTAAATATGGGTTGTTCAGATTTTCTGCATAATTAGAACATCTTGATGACCTAACTGATTTATCATCTTAGCATGCATTTAGAAAGTAAAATCGACTAAGGAAATTCGAGTTCCTAATAATAATAATAATAAACTATAGCAACTCTGGGCATCAGTTCGTATACTCAGTATTGACAGTAAAAAAATTAAGTAAAAGTAGCTATGAATTTCAAGGTCGGTTATACAGTAAAAATAGTTCCATTTGGTTTTGTATCCAACAGAACGAATCGAACCATGAGCCAATGGTTTTTTTAGTAATGGAACCAAATGATTTTGTTAAACATATGGAACCAAATTGGAACCGGACCGTTCGATGCTGCTTTGGTTTGGTTTGGTTCTAGTTTCATTATTGATTGAGAAAAAAAAAAAAGAAAAAGAACATTTGAGGAATAAGAACGAAAGGTTGAAATTTCAATTTCAGAAATCCATACGACGATGGTGGCTAAGCACAACTGTAGACGGCATGCAGTAGTAGTTGATCTCCGCGTGAAAGTCGGTATATAAATTGAAAATGAAAAATGAATTAGGATTTGGGTCCCCAAAATGAATTAGGGTCTCTAGTCTCCACTTTGAGAAATGAGAAACTGAATGTACATGACCTTATCCTATTTTCAAATTTTTTGTGTGAATTATAATTCACTATTTTGTAATTTATATATATATAAAATTTAAATATTGAGTTTGGTTCTTGGTTCTAGAACAAGGATGGAACCAAAATCAAATAGTTCTCAGTTCTAACAACCAGAATTATTATTATTATTATTATTATTATTATTATTATTATTATTATTATCATTTTTTTTTTTTTTAGTAGAACCGAATCACTCGATTTGGTTTGGTCATTTTGTCAACTCCTAGTTGGTCATAAAAATTATGTTCATTTGTCAAGTTCATTTCGAACTTCTTGAAAGTTGATCCTACCATTTTATCTCATACTGGCAAAACGTTTAGTTCTTTTACATTTTAAAATTTATAAACTTGATTTCATTTCAATTAAAAGAGCACATACTGGTTTGTTTTTAAGATTAACTTTTGTCACAATATCTGTCGTATGTATCCAAACACATTTTTAATCTGCAAGAATGGCTACTTAATTGGCTAGCTCGTCCCAGTCATGCTTCGAGGCTTGATCATAGACAGTGCACAAGAGAAAACCAAGTTCACCAATTAGGGTTAATCTACATTCAAAACCATATCTAACAGCAATCATCTCGTGCATCCCATATGGGCTTACACTAATTTGACAAAGAACAACAACAACAATAAACTGCAACACCCACAATACCACTTCAACATTCGTTAAAGCACTCAGCCTAAACAAATTAAAGAAGTGACTTGAAACCTCCATTTCACATTTCATTTGATCCATATTGTTGATCCATTTATATTTCAAGAGACTATCTAAAACCATCACATACGCATAATAAAAGTACTTCAGTATTTATCAATGTTCTGAACACCAGATCAGCCACTAACCCGGTAAAGCTAAAAGGACTAGGGATCAAACAGTCAAATCGAGGATGAACTGGGGTTGACCCAAAAATTAAAATTATTAAAAAAATGATTTATTCATAGATTTATAAATATAATTAAAAATTTCTATTAATTAAAATAATATTCTAAAGTCCATGAGTTAACCAATAATATTTATGGAGCCATCTAACATTAAGTGAGAACTAATTGGCCAAAAACTACTTTAACATAACAATACACAGCCCACATATTCAAATCCTACTATTTTCATTTTAACCTGGGCCTGCATTAGTTTCAGATCTAAATGTGCAGTTACCTTCCGATTCTCAATGGCAACTCATTTTCTCTCTCATGCATATAAATAGTTGCAGAATCTATATGTTTTCATTTCTTTGTAAGGTTAGTTTGGATTTTGGATATTTTGACTATAACGTAGCACAAAGGCTTCGCCATGGAGACAATGGGCTTCGGTGATTATTGGACGACCAGATAAATGTTAGCAAAGCTTTGTTCTATATTTCACCAACTCTCTTTTTCTTTTTTTTGGGCAAAATCAACCGTTGAACCTTCAAAAACCGTGTCCTGTTCACCAGTTTCGGTTGAACCAGACAGTGCGCTGGTCCGGTTCAGTTCGGTTTTCAGAATACTGGTATTTTCTGCTTTTTTGGAATATTGTAAGATATTATCTTTACTCAATAATAACCCCCAGTATAACTTGGGCTAAACATAACAAGACGAGCAATATCTACTACCATTCACATAAAAGGAGCAACTGAGCAAGTAATGCACATTCACAGTTTTTTATGGCTTTCTTAACTTTTGGCACTTACCCATTTAAATCTTCAAACCTATATACATAAAACAACCTTGAACAACTATATCATTGTTGTAAATCCTTAACCATCCATTTAATGTTTATAATTTGTCTAATTGTTTCCACAGTATATTCCTTTATATCACCATTGAGTATTAATCATCGTTATTACTAAATGTCTAGTTGTCATAATTCAGACTGTCAACAAACCTCGCTCAAAATTTGAACCAATTATAGTCAAGTTAAAAAATAATCACAGGTGCAAACTCTTTATCTTTGCTATCTACAAAGTAACCATATCTTACGGAACTTGCCAACCTAGAACTACATTTTGCTCCAAGTACTAATTAATTTTAATTGTTAAGACGACCTTTCTATTAAGCCATCATATCAAACGTTCTTTTTCCACTGAGGTCACATACTGCTTCAGTATTCAAAAAACATCTATCTTGAATTCTCAAAGTAGTGTAATATAGCCCAATAAGTCAAAATCTGCAAATGAAATTTCACCCAAACAGCTCTGTTAATACACAATTACGTGAATTCTTACTTGGCCCGAGCCTAAATCGTAGATATCTAAAACTGCTATTTTAGAAGGGCTCATATTCAATCTATGCTATATAACAATTCAGTAAACAGCAATATTACCATTTATACTTGAAAGTTGTAAGCAAGATTTACCTTTAAATGAAGGTCGAAAAAGAACACTCCAAATTTCCCACTAATCTGGGAAGTCATATCGAACGGGATCGCACCCTTTGCCAAGTCCTCCAGCAACGGAATCACGTCGCTCAATATCTCAACTCCGTCGAGAACGAGCGTGGCGTTGATATTCGACGTTCCACGGGCCTTGATGTCACCACCATCGGACATAACAGACCCCAATCGCTTCCCTCTGTAGTCAATGGCGACAAGTAAAGAATCGTAGTCAATGGAGTAGAAGTCTTTGTTCCTTACCTTGATGGTGAGATCTAGGGTGATGTCGAGGGAGATTTTAGGGCGGGTATGAAAGTGGAGGCGATCAAGACGGAGGCGAACGATTGAGAGGTCGGGATCGGAGGGCCAGAGGAGGTAGGCGGCGGCGGCGAGGAAGGGCAATAAAGTGGCAAAGCATATTAGGCAGCGGCGGCAGGATTTACTCAGAAGACGGTGGGTGTGCGGTGGTTGGTAGGTCAATAGTACAACGTATGGTGGTTCTTGGTGTTGGGAGTCGGAGAGGAGAGGCTGCGAATCAGAGTGCCTCGTTGAACGCATTTTTTGTTGGTAAATAAATGATTGCCGTGAACTCTTCCCCCGGAGATATATGAAGCAGAGGTAGGTCCAGTTTCTTCTCTGCAATTTTGTCAAGTTTCAGCTAAAACCGCCATTTATAACTTGAAAAATTGAAATCGCACTAAAAGACGAAATTGAGGTGGACGATCTTGCATGGGAAAGCGTTGTAAAAATCTTAAGATTTTCAATTTTGATTGCAGCCAGCAGTGGCAGGTTCTGATTAGCTGAGTATCCTACCCTAATCCTATCCCGTGTTGAATTTTACTTTCTTTACTTTTTTATTGAATTATTGATTTAATCAAATCATTCTTTTCTTCGTAGTTTTGTGGGAAATAATCAATCATGCATTCTCTTCACTATTTCATATAAAGGTTTCTCGCTGGTAGGAGGTTTGAGAGTTAAAAAGAACACCACCATACAAGAAAATTTGCATCCACGACTCCACGAGCATGGCACACTCGACAGCTGAAAGACTACATTTATGTTAAAAGGCATCATGTGAAAGTAAAGTTATGGTGCACTTTCCTATCGACACGTCATAAAGGAAGATCCACAGAGAGAAAGACCATATTTCGAATATTCGACTCAAGTGTGTATAAGTTGTGATCGCATTCGAATTTACTCGGATGACGATCCAGGGAGCAATGCCGCCATTTCTCATGATTAGTCGAGCGAAACTTGAATAGCTAATTCACCAAAAAAAATAAAATAATAAAGTAAATTGCATTCGTGATTGGACTAATATTTGAATAACAAAATACTACGCTCCTAAATAATACTTAAACATAAAATTACTTCGTTTAACAATAAGAAAATCATGAAGAGGAACTAGGAATGGCATGCAATTGGAGAGCACTTGAGATTGCATTAGAAAAGATGATATAGGGAGCAGAAGCCTTGTTATCCATGCCAATGACATATTTTCCGTTTTCCTCTATTTTTCATCATAAATATATCAAAAACAATGAACCTATTGTGAAATTGGTAAATTTTACCAAGTCAGTTCAGCAAACCACCACTCCTAGGGATGGATTTTTTTTTTGGGGGCGCGCCGGGGGGTTCCCCCTCAGCCCAACAACTTTTTTTTAAAGATATTTTTTTATTCTTTTGATAAAAAAATCAATTTTTTATGTGTAAATTTTTTTTCCCTTCCACGTAATAGCTTGGTTTGAAATTTTGTCACACAGTCGTAGATCCAATCTTGAATCCGTCCCTAACCACTCCCACGTCACCAGTCTTGTTTGGCTCAGCCCAAACCAGTTATCAATGGCCGCCCCCACCCGTCATACAACTCTACCACCCGCCAACCTTTCTTGGGGGAAGATTGATTTAGTCAAATGATTTTGATCCAACTACAGAACTATTTGAAAAGTCGAGAGATACTAATATTAACCAAGATTCCAAAACCACAATTATAAACTGAAAATAAAGTGCAGAAAATAAAATGAACACGGAGAATTTTTCAACCGAAGTCCCAGAGATTCGGCGACTACTTCTAGCGCTTAATCCCCTGCTGAGCATCCGTTAAAATGGATAAAGCTCGATTGAACTATAAAGCTCCAAAAACAGGTAGCCAGTATACAATAATGTTCCAAAATATTACAAAGAAATAAGTCACAATAGACTTATCTTATGAAGAACAATAAAACCGATCTCTATTCCACAAAGGAATCACACTAGATCACAAAGATCTCACCAAAAACATGAACTGCCCTCTCTCAAGTTATTCAACATCAAGAACATATTACCCCAACAAGTAACATTCCACCAAGGAACACAACAAAAACAGCAACTACCGCACATAGGAAGAGACCGAGACCACTAAGATCTCACATGAAACCGGGTAAAACTCAAATCCCACAAATTCGACTTAAGCAAAGCTGAAAAGTACAACGCCCATATGGATCTATATTATTTCTTGAGGATAACATGTTTTATTTTCAGAAAATATACCAAGAATCAAGCCCTAAGTCACTAATTAGAAAGGGATGTTTGCAAAGATGAGAGGGAAAGATGAGGGGTCGAGTTTCAGAGAGGAGAGAGAGACTTTTTCTTTTGGTGAGTGAGAGGTGAGAGAGAGAGTTGCAAACTGGAAGAAAAAGTCTTGCACTCGTTTAATGTGTATCTTTCCCAAATATCTCATGGTTAGGTAAATAGAAGACTCTAGAATTAGATCCAATGGTCAGGAAATAAACACGTGTCACAATCCAACTGTAGAGCTCCATTAATAAGGCATTATTCCAGAAACATGTTTCTTTCTTTTTTAATTTTGGAACACTTTCTCAATAATCTCCACCTTGTTTCCAAAATTTGGGCCTATAGTGCAGCCAGGAGCATCACCAACATTTATAACTTTATTTCCTCTATTGTACCTGCACAATCAATAAAAAGAATCAATAGATAACATCTTTAAATAGTTTTGAAACTTATTTAAAGGTATCATCTTAGTTCCCGTATCGGATGGATTATACAAAGTAGGTATTTTATTAATTTTCAACAACCCTTTTGAAATAATATCTCTTATAAAATGGTATTTTACATCAACATGTTTAGTTCTATCATGGAACATAGGATTTTTACTCAAATGGATTGCACTTTGGTTGTCAGAATAAAGTATTGGATTAGTGTCTATAAAACCAAGTTCATTCAACAAACCATGCAGCCATATGCCTTCTTTAATGACATCAGTGGCAGCAATATATTCAGCCTCAGTGGAAGATAGAGCAACAATTTTTTATAATTGAGATTTTCAACTTATCATAGTACCACACAAAATGTAAAAATAAGATGAAGTTGATTTTCTATTGTCTCTATTTTCAGTAAAATTAGAATCTGTATAACCTTTTAAAATTACCCCTCTTTGTCCATTTTAAACATCAAACCCAAATTAGATGAACCATTTAAGTATCTCAACAACCACCTCAAGGCTTCCCAATGAATTTCACTAGGATTCCCCATAAATCTACTCAAAACACTAATACTAAAAGCCAAATCAGGTCTGGTACAAATCATTAAGTGCATGACTGAACCAATAGCATTAGCATAAGGTATTTTAGACATTCTTTGAAGTTTGTCTTGAATAAAGTGATTGGCAAGGGGTAAAGTCACAGGTTTACAATCAAACATATTAAACTTCTTGAGGATCTTATTCACATATTCTTTTTCACATAAAAACAAGCAATCAGATTTTTCATCTCTTACAATATGCATGCCAAGTATTTTTTTAGCGGAACCAAGATCCTTCATATCAAATTCTGATTTTAATTTGTCTTTGATATCATCAATTTTAGATTTATTGCCACTAACAAGAAGCATGTCATCAACATAAAGTACAAGATATAAAGAATATTTACCTCCATTTCCTTTACAATAAAGATATGTATCATAATTACTTCTATTTAAACCAAGTTCAAGATTAATGAATTGAATCTTTTATACCATTATCTTGAAATTTGTTTTAGGCCATACAAAGATTTGTTCAACAAACACACTATTTTTTCCAGATTCCTTTAATAAATTCTAAATGTTGTTTCATGTAGATCACTTCATCCAATTCACCATATAAAAATGTAGTTTTTACATCTAGTTGATCAAGATTCCAATTAAATTGCACAACCAAAGTAAGAATACATATTATAATTGTATATTTAACAATGGGGGAAAAATCTCATCATAGTCCACACCCTCTTTTTTGTGTGAAACCCTTGGCAACAAGCCTAGCCTTGTATCTAACATTGTTAGTGCCACCTTCCCATTCCTTTACGTATAAATCCACTTGGAATCAACTAGTTTCTTATCCTTAGGTCTATCTACCAATTCCCAAATTTTATTTTTGTATAGGGAAGACATTTCTTCTTCCATAGCACTTAACCACCGCTTAGAATCTTTCAATTTTAAGGCTTTATGATAGGAACTATGTTCAGTTTCAGATTCATCTTGATAAGTGAACAAAGACACAAAGTCATCACTACTAAACCTAGTTGGTGGTCTAATTTGTCTCCTATCCCTGTCTCTAGTGAGCTAGTATTCATGTACAGGTGTATTGTCATCATTATACTGCTCAGGTTCAGCCAAATCAGGGCCATTTTCATTCTGGTCTATTTCTAAGGGGACAAAACTGATATTATCAACTTTAATAGGCTCCACCTCAATTTGGACATCATTTTCAGTCAAATTTCCCTCTTTCCCTTCCAAACATGCCATACACAACTCATTAAAAACCACATCCCTCCTTATGATAACCCTGTAACCTTTTTCCCCATAAACCCACAACCTATATTCTTTAACATTTTCAGCATAACCTAAAAACACACATTTAAGGGATCTAGGTTCAAGTTTCCCTATGTTTTAATGAGCATATGCAGCACAACCAAATGTTTTCAAGTAAGAATAGATCATAGGCTTTTGTGTCCACACAGATTCAGGCACATCAAAATTTAAAGCACTTGCATGACTTCTATTAATCAAATATGCAACAGTTTTAAAAGTTTTACCCCAAAATAATTTGAGCAAGCCAAAACTTAAAAGCATGCATTTAATTTTATTCCAAAAAATCCTATTCATTCTTTCTGCAATGCCATTTTGTTGGGGTGTATAGGTCATAGTTCTATGTCTTAAAATGCCATGCAACTTGCAAAACTCATTAAACTCATAATTGCAAAATTTTAAACCATTTTCGGTTCTCAAAGTTTTGATTTTCAAATCAATTTGATTTTCAATTTGTGTTTTCCAATCTTTAAATGTAGCAAATGTTTCATCTTTAGCCTTCAAAAGAAATTCTCAAATTTTTCTTGAAAAATCATCAATAATAAGCAAGTAATACTTGTAGCCAAACAATGTAGGGATGGATGCAGGGCCCCACAAATCAGCATGTAAGTATTCTAGAATTTGCTTTGATTTATGAGTACTAGAGGGAAAATGTAACTTAACTTGCTTTCCAATCAAACATTGTTCACATTTAGACAAATCACTAATATTTGATTTTCCAAATACACCTTTATTTTGTAAGTCTTTAAACCTTTTTCACCAATGTGGCCAAGTCTACAATGCCACAATTTTGTAATATTAAACTTATCATCTAAAACTGCTGCTGAAAGGCCCAATAAAGATTTTGCATTTAAAAAGTATAAACCATGTCTCTTTGAGACAGAAGTGATCAAATCACTACCCCTAAAGATTTTTATGTGTCCTTTACCTAATTTTAAGTCAAACTCCATGTCATCCAACATTCCTAGACACAAGGTTTCTCTCTAATTCAGGAACAAATCTGGCCTTTCTTAACAGTAAAATTCTGCTATTTTCTAAGAGCAATTTTATAGTTGCAATACTTTTCCTTTGCAGTTCATGTGGTTTCCCATGATAACTTGGCCCTCTATAGTTTGTTCAAAGTCCAAAAAATAATTTTTATTAGGGTACATGTGGAAAGAACAACCTGAATTAAGAATCCATTCTGGATTTAAGTTCCTTTCAACATTTACAAGAATCAAGTCATTATCAAATTTTTGCTTATCATAGGACAAAACAGCATTATTCTCATTTAATTTCTTTCCTTTCAAATCATTTTACTTTTTGTAACAATCTTTTGCAAACTTACCACAGTAATAACAATTCTTTCCCTTTGCCTTAGTTTTTGATTTCATTTTGTCATTATTTCTTTTCTTAGGATAATTTTGAAATTTTGAATGAAAATTAGATTTACCAACATTTTTGCCTTTTATCAAAAAAATTTCTCCACTTTGTTGGTTGATAGAATCTGATTTTAATTCAAGAACCCTATTTCTTAAGGCATTTATAATGATTTCCGTGGTAAGCTTGTCTCTTCCATATTCTAAGGCATTCTTAAAGTCTTTATGCCTATCATTAATGGAGTTTAACAAGATCACAGCCAACTGATTTTATGATGATTTCTCATCACAGTTGGCAAGGTCTTGGGTTAATTTTGTAAATCTGTCCAAGTTCTCATATAAGTCAACAGAAGGATCCATTTTGAAAGAAAAGAATTGTTTTAGGAAAAAACATTTGTTTGGAACAGTTTGTGGCTCATATTGGGCTTTCAATTTAGTCCACAACTCGTCAGTAGTTTTAGTTTCACCTATAGACCTGATTACATTGTCTGAAAGGTACAAGAAAATAGTACTCCATGATATTTCTTCTAACTCAGTTCTTTTTGCAGCAGACATTTCAGCAGGCCAAGTATTATCTGAGGCTTTAGCACATTTCATTTGCATCAAGATAGCCCTCATTTTCTGGCTCCACATATTAAAGTCCCCTCTCCCATCATACATGCTCACTTCAAATTTAGCAGTAGCCATGACAAGATTCACCAAAATAGTTTACAGAACACAAGTTTGAGTTCAAGAACACACAGGGATACACAATAAAAGTACTGCAGGCAATAAGGGGATTATGGATTGATGACCAGTGCACTAATTTCAAGTTTTCACAAAACAGTAAACACTTAACACTAAGTATAGAAGGCAGAATCACAAAGAATAGAGATAGCAATCCTATGTCTCAACTAACTTGTCCAGCAAGACCTTCCAATTGCACTCCTACTAGCGTTGTTATCTCAGATTCCCAAGACTTCTTGAATCTTTGGACAAAGACCAGCCACAATAGATTTTGTTAGTGCAAGGTAAATCAAGGGAAAATTAGGAGACCTTACTGTAAAGATTAATTACAAAATGCAGGAAAGATCTCACCAATGAGTTTGATAAAACTCAATTTCAATCGGCCAATGTGTATACAGGTTTCAAGAATCAAGTTTAATCAAGAAATCACAAAACTCCAATAGTCCAAGTTGCTCTGATACCACTGAAAAGTTGAGAGATACTTATATTAACAAAGATTCCAAAGCAACAATTATAAACTGAAAATAAAGTGCAGAAAATAAAATGAACACGGAAAATTTTTCGGCCAAAGCCCCAGAGGTTCGGCGACCACTTCTAACGCCTAATCACCTGTCGAGCATCCATTAAAATCGATAAATCTCGATTGCACTATAAAGCTCCAAAAACAGGTAGCCAGTATACAATAATGTTCCAAAATATTATAAAGAAATAAGTCACAGTAGACTTATCTTATGAAGAACAATAAAACCGACCTCTATTCCACAAAGGAATCACACTAGATCACAAAGATCTCACCAAGAATATGAACTGCCCTCTCTCAAGTTATTCAACATCAAGAACATATTACCCCAACAAGTAACATTCCACCAAGAAACACAACAAAAACAGCAACTACCGCACATAGGAAGAGACCGAGACCACTAAGATCTCACATGAAATCGGGTAAAACTCAAATCCCACAAATTCGACTTAAGCAAAGCTGAAATAGTACAACACCCATATGGATCTATATTATTCTTGAGGATAACAGGTTTTATTTTCAGAAAATATACCAAGAATCAAGCCCTAATGTCACTAATTAGAAAGGGATTTTTGCAAAGATGAGAGGGAGAGATGAGGGGCCGAATTTCAGAGAGAAGAGAGAGAGACTTTTTCTTTTGGTGAGTGAGAGGTGAGAGAGAGAGTTGCAAACTGGAAGAAAAAGTCTTGCACTGATTTAATGTGTATCTTTCCCAAATATCTCATGGTTATGTAAATAGAAGACTCTAGAATTAGATCCAATAGTTAGGAAATAAAAATGTGTCACAATCCAACTGTAGAGCTCCATTAATAAGGTGTTATTCCAGAAACACGTTTCTTTCTTTTTTAATTTTGGAACACTTTCTCAACACTACTATTAGCTTATCATATGCGAGGAGAGCGGAATTTGTGAGAGCCATTCTACAAAGAGTGGAATATTTTTGGTTATCCATTTTTTCCATCCCCGCAACGGTGGCTTCTAAAATCATTAGTCTATGTCCGAGCTTCCTATGGGACCCAAAAAACTATTGGCTCAATCCAAAAAGTTGGAACGTTGCACTACTCTCCAAAACACTTTGGAACATCCATAGCAAGAAGGAGACTTTTTGGAATAAATGAATAAATCAAGTGCATCTTTGAGATATGAACATTTAGGAGTATAAGGTGAAAAAAGATGACTCTCCATTGCTCAAAAAAGTGTTGGAAATCAGGGACAGTATTATTAGGCCGAAATGTGTAATGCAGGCTGGTGTGAACAGGTTACCTTGCTGGATGGAAACTGGCAGATGCAATACCTCAGCTGCTTATGAGTTCTTCAAGCTAAAAGGTGCTAAGGCAGCTTGGGCATCCTTATTATGGAACATCTCTAGCACTCTAAAGCATGCTTTCATCCTTTGGTTAGAAATTCAGGCCAGATTACAAACGAATGACAGCTTGTATCACCTTCAATTGGACCAAAACTGCTCTTTTTGTGGGCTAATGGAGGAAACTGCACAACACTTTTTTTTCATGTCCGATCAGCAAGGATGTTTGGGAGCAAATTCATGGTTGGTTGGCTATTAGGCGTAATCTAATTTATTGAGCTCATTAAAGTGGATGAAAAAAGAAGTCTGGGGGACAAGTTGGCAAAGGCGAAGCAAAACGTATATCACTTGCAACTACCGTGTACTCCATTTGGATGACAAGGAATATGAGTATTTTTTAAGGTCTTAGGCTACAAGTTGATTTTATTGTAAGACAGATTAAAACACAAGTATACAAAATTATATTTGCTTTGTATCTGTATGTTTTGATTCAATTTGAGTATTTAGTAGTGAGCTCTTAGACTATCGTTGGTACATCATTTTATTTTGTGCACGCAGATATGTCCAGTGTACAAGATGTATTTTTACTTGGCCTTTGCTTGCTCAAGTATGTTCGGTGTACTTGTAATTGAGTTTTGATCTACGAAATTTATATTTACTGATAGGGGAAAAAAAAAGGGAAAGAAACTGGAAATTTACAGCCCACTGGAATGAATTGACAAAGCACAGCACAAAACGAAACAATATATTTTCTTGTTCAATATGACAGGTTATGTAATACTGATGAAATACCATTTCTAGATGGTCATATAGAACACAGCTTACATAAAAATGTATTAATTCAAAAGCTACGTAAAACAAATCACTTCAATATGCAAGTTGCTATATATGCGAGGAACATATATGTATGTATATAATTTCACATTTCCAGTCGCTTTCACACAAAGTACAACACAGTGGAATTTATTTCGGAAGCGTGAAACAAAAATTTACCAAATAGCACAAAATAATATATAAAATGTCCCTTCATCAACCCTAACTTTCGTTTTGGGAATTTGTGATTGACCTCAAGTGCCTATACATATCCGAACAAGCAAGAGAAAAATCTGACAGTTCCCGGAAAAGTCCCGGTAAATTGCTTTTCAGACTCATCAAAGACTTGTCCCTAACCTGAACGCATTGCCTTTGGTATGCTTCCTCGTCACCTTTCAATTTCAGTTTTGCTGCTTCAACAGGTTGCTGCTTTTCAGCAATAAGGTCCTTATCATGTGCCATGTCTGCATCCATTTCATCAGGTGGGGTTCTCCTCTGCATATATTTGTTATTCCAAGTATCGAATTCCCGGGTCCTTTTAATAAGCTCCTTACTGGACTCTGCACATTTGTTTCTTAAATCCAACTCCTCTTTTTGATACAGCCATATAGTCTGAATAACAGCAGCAAAGTTATTGATAGTGGCTTTCATCGGCTCATCAGGAATCTTGTCGAGGTAATCAAGCCAGGTGTCCAAGAGTTTCAGTATCGGGGGATTTTGGGTCCCACGTGGAGATGAAACCTTCTCCTTCAAGTTTGTATCTATTGGAATGAGGTTTAGCTTCAACCAATTTCTGAGAGCATTAATATATTCTTTCTGTTGAGACATGAATTCACCGAAATGTGAATGCCACTCCTGAACAACACCACATAACTGTCGAGTGCGCTTATGGTGGTGATCACTTGTTTCTTTGGGAGATTGAGAAATGTCCAGATGTCTCAAAGCTTGTACTATCTTAGATTGTTTTTCATGGTACATAGTCATAGTCTCCCACATTATAAACATCCTGTAATCCATTACAAATAGCTTAGTATGGTTTTTAAGCTTAATATGGACAGGAAACAAAATAAGACTTTACAGGAACGTATAGGTAAAAGCTATACAGAAATTGAAATTTTCAATTAAAAAGAAAAAAGAAAAAGAAAAATTCAACATGGCACAAGAGAAGGAAAAAGAAAAGTTACAATGTTCGGGTAATTCAAATGCTGATTGCAATGCATGACCATGAAAGTCAACAGTCTAAAGCATTTGGAGGAGGTGATCCTCACAGGCTTTAACCAATACCAATCTTGGACCAATTTACAATCTCATCTAAAAGATTAAACGGTTAGAGAAAGGACAAAATTTGTCAAAATTAGTATTACGTGCGTTGCACGAGATGTTAAAACTGTGTTATGAGATTTGTTTTATTCAAATATTTAAATAGATACAGCCAATTGTAATCCACAATATCCAATGATGAACACTACTCAAATTGGAATGGAGGAAGAATGTACATTCTGAAACACTATTTACTTTCAAAATTTTCATAAATCTAAAATATAGTTTTAAAAAATCAAATCATGACAAAACATACAAGAGTTTATTAGGGAGAATAATATGGAATAAATTATTAAATAAAAAATTTCCTGACTATTAAGGACCAATGGGTAAATAGATAGTAGCACCAAGGAATATGGAATAAAATATCAAATACAAAATTTTCTGACTATAAAGGACCAATGGGTAAAAAGATGGTAGCACCAAGTAAAGAGAATGAATAAATACATATTAAATTGCAACTCATAAAATTTAATAAATAAATACATTAAATTGACATCGTAAGCTCAAATCTGAAATTAGGCTACTAAATAATAGATTGTTAAGCAATTGATATACCACCCTCACCCATAACTTTTTTTCTACACAAGTGTTGCACAAATTATGAAGTTATAAGAATTTACAGTAAAGATTAAAGAACAAAAGGAACTCTAACAGAATTAAGGTGAAAATACTTTAAAAAAATTCATATGGAAACAATTGGACAGCATAATAATTGGCCAAAAAGGCAAAAAAAAATCCCTAAATATTTCCATCTTCTGAATTATTTGGTCAAGTAAATTTTTATTTTATTTTTAGATGGGGGATGTCAACTATTCATCAACAAAAACACAAGTTTTTTATTCACCAGAATCTCAAGTAAACAAACAAACAAAAAACAGCACACAAAATTTAGTGATACAATAACAAGCATCCAAGCATTAATAATGGTAATCAATATTTTTATATGATATATCACTTTACACTACTTCAATAAAAATTCAACAGTAGAAACATATATACCAAAGCAATAAATCAAAATAAATGCATATCGAAATAAAATGAAAGAATACATTAGCGAAATAACCAAAGAAAAACGAACCCCACGAGTCATTTCAATCAGCTCATTTCGAGTCAAAATAATCAATAAAAACAGGATCTGAGAATTTTCAGATAAATAATCAATTAAATACCAACATGAATCCAGATATTTATAAAATGAAGAAATTAAAATGACACAAGCAGTAAGGGAGGGACAGAGAAACAGATACTCTTAAATATTTACATCGTATACATCTTCTAATGTTGAGGTTAAGTACTAAATGCATTTACGAATACATGCTTCATATTATTTTCCATCAATCTCTCACATATCCATTCGCACACACATTACAATTTACAACTAAAATTCAAAATTCAAATACTCAATGAGAACTACAAAAAATGAAATTCCAAAATAATCGATTGGCTCCAGTTTCCTAATGCCAGCTAGCCAAGTGAATTCAAGAACAGTTCCCTAATCCGGACCAACATTCATTTATTTTGCATAACCCAGGATTGGTTACAATATAAAAGGAATATACATGCATTCAAGATCAAAAAAATGTGAACACGTGTGTGTGAATTCATATACAACCTGTAGAAAACATGCAGTTGAAGTAATTTACAATTCTACATCAGTCTTGTTCGGTGTTGCTATTGCTTGCATTCAAATTTATTACTATTATTTTTTTTTTTTTGGGGGCATTTATTTGGATTTATTATCTTTAAGAACATCTATGGATTGGAATGGATTGGAAGACTAGTGGGTTAATTGAGGTTTCTTCTTTAAGTGGTTTAATTAAGGCAATTATATGTCAGTGGATTAAATTACAAGAATTACATATTCCAAATAAATGTTTTTAGTGGGTTAAAACAATTCGAATCCTTCCCTTCGTTATGGATTATATTTATTAATAAAGTTAATGGTTCAAAAATACTCTATTATTAATGTTAAAGAGGGAGAATCTGGAGGATTACAATTTTTTGTAATTATGTTATTGTCCAAAAACGTTTTTCCTATTTCTACACTTTTATACATGTTATAGGTATAGATTATATCTTCAAAGCTCCCTTCTTCATATATATAATAGGCGAACACATCGACACAAGCATAGTTTTCATAATAAGCAATAGTGAGATTTGAACTCAGGAACTTTATGTGCTATGTTACCATGTCAAACTATCTCATCTACAAGTTCAAATTAATTTAGAGAGGATAAATATATTTATAGAACTCTGTAGTAACAGAAGATAAAATCAAACTTGAAATTTGTTCAAAATTGGGATAAGAATAAGTGGAAGATACATAGGATAGGTGATCTTTTAAGTAGTAAGAACAGTGAAACCTAGAAGTTCACGCACACGAAGATAAGCAAGAGAAATTCATGGTATCCTATTAGAATACTTAAGAAGTTACGTGTTCAATGTAGAGGTTACGTGTTCAATGTAGAGGTCATGATATATACCACATTAACTATTTTGCGCATAACGAATGCTAACAGAAGCAAGCTACGGATCCTCAACAACGATTAGACATCAGAAAATATTTTTAGCAGCATAAGAACTTACGCATTAACAAGGATGACGAGTTTTGGATACAATTGATCATCACGCAAACTATTAATTTCTGAAACGGTGGAGTCCATGGATTGCATGTCAACAATGTATCTAGTATGCAAATGACTAACTGCTGCTTTCATCCTCTCTAAAGCATCTGTATTTGAGCCATGTTTCTTCAACTTATTCAATGAAGCAACCTTTTTCTGATACTCAAGTTTCATTTGCTCACCTGCCTGTAGCATCGAAGACAAACAAAAATTGTCGTCTTTGCTCCATACTAATAAAATGAAAATTGAACATTGTTACATGCAACAGGATATTTCTGGCAATGTCATCACTGAATATATTGTATGCCACGTCAAGATACATACATTATACATAGAGGCAGACAGTGAAGGCTACGGAGATGAATCAAACAGTCATAACAGAATGAAGGCCACAGAGCTGAATTAAGCAGTCATAACGTATAATGGAGAATTTTATTTTGACATGACTCAATTAGATACCAAAGTAAAAAAGGAAATAGCTTGGGACTACTTTGTTATTCCCGTATAAGCAGTGAATGTCTAAAGCTGACATTTTTCTGCAACAATACAATTAGGAAACATCATATCAAATTCAAGCAAATTACGGGTTACTATCTAATTTTATTTGTAGCAAAATCTATACCAATTCTTGAAAGTTTGATGGTTGGGTAACTGTAATATGTGCTGCCGCCTTCCTGTAAGATGAAATCTCCACAAATTATTTATTAGTTTTCACTATTCATTGTAATCCCTTCTGAATAATATTTTGATTACATAACATTTTAATAGTTTTGATTAACTAGCCCTCCCTCCTTGTACTATTTTTCTTTTGTTATTCATAAACAAACAACCTAGTGTTGTCNAAGCAACCTTTTTCTGATACTCAAGTTTCATTTGCTCACCTGCCTGTAGCATCGAAGACAAACAAAAATTGTCGTCTTTGCTCAATACTAATAAAATGAAAATTGAACATTGTTACATGCAACAGGATATTTCTGGCAATGTGATCACTGAATATATTGTATGCTACGTCAAGATACATACATTATACATAGAGGCAGACAGTGAAGGCTACGGAGATGAATCAAACAGTCATAACAGAATGAAGGCCACAGAGCTGAATTAAGCAGTCATAACGTATAATGGAGAATTTTATTTTGACATGACTCAATTAGATACCAAAGTAAAAAAGGAAATAGCTTGGGACTACTTTGTTATTCCCGTATAAGCAGTGAATGTCTAAAGCTGACATTTTTCTGCAACAATACAATTAGGAAACATCATATCAAATTCAAGCAAATTACGGGTTACTATCTAATTTTATTTGTAGCGAAATCTATACCAATTCTTGAAAGTTTGATGGTTGGGTAACTGTAATATGTGCTGCCGCCTTCCTGTAAGATGAAATCTCCACAAATTATTTATTAGTTTTCACTATTCATTGTAATCCCTTCTGAATAATATTTTGATTACATTATATTTTAATAGTTTTGATTAACTAGCCCTCCCTCCTTGTACTATTTTTCTTTTGTTATTCATAAACAAACAACCTAGTGTTGTCAATTTATCCAAAATAAGGATGCCATTTAATAGTTCATTTCGATTACATTATAGTTTAATAGTTTTCATTAATTTAGTAGTTCATTTAGATTTGAGTGTTCTTTTAATTATTTGTTTGAAACACCATCTAAACTAAGTATGATTTTCATGGCTCCACTTAGACCTAGTAGCAGGATTTGGCCATACCCCAACAATGAAATTGATACAATTATCTTTTAAATTAATACAAAATTCATCCTCCTAAATTCTTCTTCTCTTCTCCTCTCTAATTCTCATTCTATGTCAGTTCCATATCAATTTGATATCAGAGCTAACTACAACAGTCACACACTTATATTCTGACACTGTCAAATTTATTACTTCACAGGTTACTGATTTCTGGTTGTGCACGCGCACACACACACACACACCAGAGTATTTGGTTGAGTTTTGAAGCAGTGAACTTAGAGTACCAATACCAGAAACTCCATTGAAAGAATCAAAATTTAGATTTTGATGCTTGGTAGAATGCTAGACAAAAATAAGCATCGTCATTAAAAAAAAAAAAAAAAAAAAAAAAAAAAAAAGGAAAAAAAAAAAATTGGAGCCGTTAAACAAAGTAGTCCACGACATCCAAAATTAAAATAAAATGTAAGCAACATTTACAAGTTCAACCACCATACTAAGCACACAATAAAAAGTAAAAAGATAAAAACTAAAAGATATTCCGTTTTTAATGAATTGAGTATATCTTTGTTTCTCAAAATTACAAAAGAGGAATAATAAAGAAAAAAATTTCTAAAGATCCATCGGGTATATATGACACATTGAACAGAAATATTGATGTGCATACCTTAACTTCATCATAGAGCTTTTTCTCCCACGCCAGCATCTTGTCCAACACCGTTGCATGAGTCTCATGCTCTTCTGAATCAAAGTCGTCAACTCCATTATCTGCGGATAAACCTTTGAATGACCTATTCCATGTGATGACACGCATGACCCTTGTAGAATGATCAATGTGTCCTACACAAAGAAAAAGTTGTAGTATTTATACATCCACATGAATAACCCATTGCTCACCTGAACTTTAGGACTATATCGTTATTCGACCCCACACCAGCCATACAGACCTTGCATCTACTAAATATATTTACCTTATAGTTTTCATAAGTACACGGCTACAACAAATGTAGCAGAGGCATTTTTTTTTCTCAGCAAAGCAAGTTGTTATTCTTCAAGTGACCTTTTCATAATCGTCAAACGGTGAAAATATCATTCGAACACTGACAGGAAAGTAACACTAACATTCTTGCCAATCCAAACTAAAAATTTAGTTATCAGCATATTCTACATTTTTAGTACAACTACAATCAGCAAGGCGAAAGAACTTTCCAAGATACAGTATTACTTATTTGATCTGTGAACTATTCAATATTCGTACTGACTACATTACTGTTTTAAGTTTATTCCGAGACCATTACTAAGCTATTCCAACCACATTAAACACCAATAACATATATTATACCTCTTTTATCGGCGAAATTTGAGTGATAATGCAAGCGGGTCGCCTCAAGTAACCTGGATACTTCATGAGCACTCTCATAAGCCTTGAGAAAACAATCATCAAGATCCAAAAATATTTGCAACAAGTTTGTATAACTCGGTCCACCTTTAGTTTTCCCTTCAGATGAAGCCCCCATTTTCACTCTCTTGGCCAGCTTTGTTGCCACTGCTGCTTGAGCCGGAGGAGCATGTGGTGGAAGATCCACTGTTCGTTCCACCACTTCAGTGGCTGCCTTCACGTGCTCAACCTTCCTCCCTCCATCAGCTTCACCATCAATTTCACTTTTCTTATTCCTTTCCTCTCGCACTTTCCGCTGAATTTCATCTATATTGTACTGATCATCCTCAACATCCGCCAGTGTCGATCTTGGCACATCTGCAGAGAAGAAATAATCCCATGTCTCTTTATTCAACGGAGGAGGAGGAGGAGGGACCGGGTGCTCACGCTCTCGTTCATTTGGCCGCATTGGCGAAGGCGGCTTCTGCAGGACCTCATCCTCAGTAGCCTCCTTATGTGAAAGTCTGCCTCTTGCACCCCCACTACCGCGTCCACTACTCTTACTGGTGCGATGCTTCAAATTGTGAGTGCTCTCATTGTCAATATCCTCTTCATTCTCCTCCTGAATAATCGTGTTCGAGTTCTTCAATTCAGTACGGAGTTCAGGAACGGTAGACGCCCGCTGAAGCGGTGAAGAAGTCGGACTGTACGAAGGGGGCAGGGGAGGATGGGGCAGCGGAGGAGGAGGAGGAAGAGGAAAATTATCATAAGGCGGAAGCGGTGGCGGAAGAGTGGCATCACCAGCACCTCCACCCCCGCCGCCGGCGGGATATATGACTTTCCCATGAGCATAGTCGCTGAGAGCGGCGCCGGTGTTCTTCAAGGACATCGCATGGGCCGCATGGGCCGACGCGAACTTGTTGCGGGCCGTAACAGCCCGCTCCATATATTGCTTCCGCTCCTTACATCGATTTACAGTTTCCTCGTTCTCGATCTTAGATTGCGTGCAGCCCATTAATCCCGCACCTAGAAATCTGCAAGAAATTACAACACACACACAGTGATTGCAATTAGAGAATTGCTTTTTCAATTTCAATCTCACACACACTACAAGAATTGGATTTTGGATCCGTATTTCAATTTCAATCGCTTAGTGAAGAGGACAAATTGCTTTATTGCTTTTTCCTGTTTTGGAAGAATAATATTTACAAGCTGTGAAGATGACGCTTTGCTTGCGAGATCAGACCACGCTGTCGTTTCACTACACTAAAACGCCAAACGACGTCGTCAGATATTCTTTACTGTCGTCAAAGGGAATAATCTTTACAAGCAAGAATGACAACCGAAGCCCGTTCGTAAGTTAAAAAAAGAATTTTGGAATAGTCAATTCTGAAAAATATATAATTGAAAAGTTAAAAAAAAAATTAATTAATTTACGTATAAAAATATTTGTAAGATGTATAGTTAAAAATAACTTTAAAAAAAATTTAAATAAGAATAATGCAATTTATACTCGCTCATTACCATATTCGTATTATATGACATACATATGACGATTAATAATTTGATACATTAATATGGTAACTTTTTATAATCTTATGCATCAAATCACTAATCAACATGTGTATGCTATGTATGACGATCACTACTTTGATACATTAATATGATAATTTTTTATTATCTTATATATCAAATCACTAATCAACATATGTATGCTACGTACGACGATTACAGTAGTGAGCGATTATAAATAATATTATTCTTTAAATAATGATAGATGGACAGGACTTACAGTGTGCCATCGTCCACTAACAGCGGACATTCTCTGGAAGTCATTTAACTTGCAAATCTATTTCAAGTTGATCACCAAATTTTAATAAGTTTCAATTAGTTGACCCATTTTACATTTTTATCTCAATTTGACAATTCTTTTTATTCCTCTTACTAAACCCATAGTATATGTGAGCAAAATCATATTTTTAGCAATGCTATTTATTTAAATATTGAAAAATACAATTGTTATTTATTTTTTGTGTTTAAAAGAATATAAAGGTGAATTATATTTATACATATGTTGAATTTATTTTGTTAATCAAGTTATAATTTTGTTAGTTTTGATAGTTGTTATGGATGTAATAGTTAGAATGAAATATTTATTTTATCTATATTGAAATTTGTTTAAAAAAAAAAATTGCTGATATTTTATAAAATTTTGGCATAAATGAGGACATCCTATTTATTGTTGTTTTTTTTTTTTTTTTGATGAATTAGTCAACACACTTTAATTTATCTTTCAATGGTCACGCAACTAAGCCCCTCTTTGTACCCTTTTAAAATAAAACTCTTTAATTCGCATTCTCATTCTCATTCTCATTTTCAATAATATATTCACACAGTAAATTATTTAGTAATTAAATTCAAAATTATGCTCTACTCCTTAACCATATATTTTTCAAAAAAACACGCTTCAAAGCAACATTTTTTTTTTCAATAATGACCATCAAATATTGGCTACTTAGCTTTAGATAGTTAAACTAGTAAATACAAGATATTGCTTGTATGGATTAAAACCTAAATTTTAATTAAGTAAAAGTTAATAATTAACTTTAACCACATATTTTATGAAATTTATAACTTTTTAACTATGATACTGATTGTCGAATAAGTCGTATAAATAATTGGCAATGAACGTCCAATTTTTATTTTTTATTTTTTATTTTTTTATATGAAAGTGTATACATTTCAATATATTATATTGTTTTGACCAGTGAAATCTTATTAATGATTAAAAGGAAATAAATACAAATTATGAAGTCCAGGAGGAGTCACTGAAAAGATGGGTCAAAGAAAATTTTTTATTAGGAGGTAAAAAATGAAAAAGTGGAATAGATGGATTCCCTTTATGAAATTCCCTCCCCACATTTGATGCTAAGAGATAAAATAGGATTCTAAGCTTTAGCATGTGAGTGGACCACCGAACACTCTTTTCCTTTTTCACGATAAGCAAATTGGGTAGTTAGGAATATGCCAATATGGCATCATCCAGCATATATTTTTGCACAAATTTGCATTTCCCCCTAGAGAATGTTGAGTGTACTTTTGTTACATTGATTTTCACGTTGAACTGGTTTAGTCCTTTGAATCTAACACGCAGCTCCCGTTTGTTTTCCATTATTTACTTATTAAAATGAAAAATATTACCGTTAGCCACCATATCAAGCTACTATATTTGAAAATTTACCTCTTGTGTGAGATTCGTAACTGCTATATTTTTCATTCTTATTTTCCTATTAACGTGGCTCAAACGGGGCCACAATACTTTTTCTTCATTTTCTCACGCTATCAATTTTCAATCATATCCTATAATTTTATTAGTAGTAATATTTTTTTAAATAATATTTTGTCATATTGTAGCTTCTTCTTTTTTTTAATTGGTGGAACAAAAACGATGTCGTTTTCTATTTTACCTACAGTTTACTTGCTTTGAATCTAACACACAATACTTTTTCTTCATTTTCTCATGCTATCAACTATCGATCATGTTCTATAAATTTATTAGTAATAATATTTTTTAACTAATTTTTTACATAAAAGTTATTCTTTATTTCTAAAATGCAAAAAGTTACTTATAACTAAAAAGATCACTTCAAGTTATTTAAAAGTAAAACGAACTTATAATTGTAAAAATTACTTATAACTAAAAAAAATATTAACTTAAATTTTTTTAAGTATAAATATTTAGTTTTTTAAATTAAATATTGATAAAAAAGATTACACTATTTAAAATGTAAAAAGTTACTTATAAGTAAAAAAAAATCACTTCAAACTATTTAAAAGTAATAAAAAAACTTATAATTGTAAAAGTTACTTATATATAAAAAAATATTAATTTCAACCATTTTAAGTAAATATTTAGATATATTTAATTATTTTAGATTAAATATTAATAAAAAAATTACTATAAACAATTTTTAAAAAATATATATATATAGTAACTCCATGCAGGGAGTGAAAAATCACTCCTAAACACTCCGTGCATGGAGTGGGGTGATATCACTCCGTACACGGAGTAAAAAAAAAGTATATATTTGCGTTTTTTTTATTTTATTTTCCTTTTTCACTTCCTAGAGAATTTTTTTCGTTTTTATTTTCCCTTGTTACGCAACTTTACGAGACTCAAGATCCAAATCTAATATTTTCCATCTCTCTCTCTCTCACGCCACAATCACATTCCACGCTGCCTCTCCTATTTTTTTTGGTGAAATCGTCGATAGTGAGCAAGCGATCAGAGCCGACATTTTTCTTCTTGATGGCCACACCTGGTTAGTCTTTCTTTGTGTTCTAAGAAATTTTTTAAATCATATTTTTTTCAATTTCTTCGAATTTTAGGATATTATGTTTTTTTTTCCCTATTATTTTGACACGATAGGTTTATCTCTACAATTTGGTGCTTTTAAGTGTAATTGTGTATATGTTCATATGTTTGAAACTGATTTTCTAAACCTGCTTTTTTTGAGAAACGAATAGTGATATTTGAAGAATTCAGTCTTAATGGTGTTAGTAGAGCTAGAGTTCAGTCCAGCATTCTCTCGGGCCTCTTATCTGTGGATGGCCGGGTCATCTGTAAGGTGACTTATTTTTCCTCCGTCTTTACTTTTTTGAAGATATAAAAATCTAATTCTATTGCTGAGTTTTTTACCATATGAAACGATATTCTTTTATCTCTGTTTGTTTGCGTTTTTGTGTAGAATTTAAGTACTTAATTTCGTGCTTTTTATAAGATAGTGCTATGCAGTTTTTTATTCATGATATTGTGCATCTTTTATTCCTATTGTTGATCAGGGATTTTGATGCTTTTGTAATCATGTTAAAATGAAAACACAAGTACTCGTTGGGGATCCTGAGGAAAAGATTATGCTCTGCCTGGAGACTTGGTACTTTCAAATTTTAATTCTTATTGCTGGTTTGCTTCCCAGTCTTGAAATTGTATTGGACTTTCTATCTTTTTGGTAAGGATAAATTTTACCATTTTCTTGTTTACTTCAAAAATCATTTTATGTTCTGAAAAACTAAAATAATTAGTTAATTAATTAATATGTAGTGTCACAGTCCTTAGATGGGTACTTATGATATCTGTGGATTTCAATGTTACTGCAAGGTATTTATGATATCATTTATTTTCCGTTTTCTCATTTTCAGTTTGCTAAGTATTGAATTAATTTTTGCTCTTAATGAATTAAATTCATTACTTCTAATTAATTTTAATATACAGTAATCAACCCATTGTCGAGGTCCTTGGATGATATAGAATATCAGATACTACTACAATACAAAAGAATCGAGAATGATGAATAAAATTTAAATAAAGGTAAGTACAAAGGAATGGCAAACAGCCGACAAGAATTTAGAATCAACATGCAAAAGAACATGAAATACTTGAATAAAAAGAAAGGCCAAGAGATAGTACACATACACCAAGCCACCAATGACAATATCAGCACCAAGTGAAAATTAACAAAAGATCATCTCTTTTAAATATGTATAAATCAAGCTTTTGGATATTCTGAACTACCAGTCTTTTAACTGATTGTTGCTTGTCTATGAACAAGAATTTAAAATAAAATCTGCACAGAAAACTGCTGTACTTTCCTTAGGGGAGCCCCAATTGAAAATCTAGAGGTTTTGTTATGTGAATGTTTGCTTTCATGATTTTAGACCCCCAAACCCATGAGGAAATGATTTTTTTTACATTTAATGGTTTAATCCGAAATGGAATTGATGGTTATCTGGTTCACATATGTTGATACTCGTTTGATGAATAATGTTATTGAATGTGATTGTTAGTCAATTTTATGTTTCTTGGTATTGAAACTTTTGGCTTGATGGTGTTGTTTTCCGCAATAGAAATTTTCCAATACGTTTTGCAATTGGGTGTAAATTTTCTTTGGATCCTTGGGAGTGAGTTCATCTTTCTTCTTGTTTGTTCCTCCTAGCCCAGATAGATCTTTATCATTATATGTTCCGCATTTTCTCCTCTATTGTTGCTTTGATTCACTTTTTCTTTTTCAAGTTGTCATTATTCTCTTTAAAGTTGACATTTTTCTTTGCCTTTTTCTTAAATTTCATAGATCTCTTTTTTTTATAGTTACTATGTCATAAATTTAAAATGATATATTCCGCTTTTAATAAATAAGCTCATGGATACTTGCTTCCCGATTCCTTTCATAGAGTGATGAGCAAAACTACTTGTTAATTTCAAGTAGTTCACATAATTTAAAAAGAAAATTAATCTCTTATTTTCGTGAAATGTACATAGGAATTTTAGGCAGCATTTAATGTTTCTAATAAATCAAGTGCTCAAACTTCACTGTCTCTTAGAAGAAAATAATGTTTTCACCTAATAGATTACTTGAACAATTGTAAAAGAGCTCATATGTGTTTCATAGGCTATAAAAATGTACTTTTAACAAATCTTGCTTCCAATAAAAGTTTTGCTGAGACTCTTTGAAGAGCTGGAGTTCAAGCTGAATTAATTTTATATGAAGGCAAAACCTACACAGGTGTTCCTTCAGGTACCTAGTTGTTCTATATGCGTCTTTTGTTCCCTTTGTGTCTTTCTTATTTTGCTTGTAAGAAGCACAAACTATAGGATCAATCTGAGATGTTTTAATTTATTGAAATCTTTTCCACTTCTCATGACTAATATATTAATTCTGTTTTATAATATATGTTGTAATGTTAACATTGTTTTATTATGAATATCTCATGTTCCATTTCAAAAGCAGGACCTTGCATTTTTCATTTTGCCATACACTAACATTACTTTAAAAAAAAACACAGTTCGTGCATTGCTCGGGCATGAGACTGGTCCTCTAAAAAGAAAAAAATGAATGGATCATAACTTCTTATATTTAATTAATTAGTTCTAAGCCGAGTAAAGTATATTCAAATAGAACATTCGACAAAATCAAGATACATGTAGCGAAATTGACTTATTTAGGAATTTATCTCCAAGAATAGTACTCCTTCGTACTGAAAATGAATGGATAATGTAAAGTTTTATCCATTAGAACATCTATAAGAGACTCTCTATATTTTAAGAGCATATTCTATAATCTATAGAGCATCTATAAATTCAGAGAGTAAAAATTTTGACGTACTTCAATAGACTTTTTATATTTAACACTAAATTTTACTACTCCAAAAAATATTTATTATTATTTTTATCTATTAATTTAACTAGCTTCTCTCTAGAATATTATATTATTTTCTTACATTGAAAATTGATATATTTTGAATGCATCTGATTATAGAGAGTGAGCATGACTCTCCAAATTTGGAGAATCAAACCCACTCTTAAAGCTCTTGTTTGGCCTCCATTAAATTAAAATTTATTTATCTCTTTCTTCTTATTAACTACAAAATTTTCAATAAAATAATATTATACGTAAATATAAAAAACTTTTTCTTCTTTTTTAACCACACATCCTTCAAAAAATTACTATTCCTTTCATTATAATTTAAAATAATAATAATGCTACTTGTACAAAGTAGCTTGACAAAAGTGATTGACAAAGTGACGTGTACGACTGAGACTAAAAAGCATTGGACAACTGAGATTTTGACAATAAAGCTTAACCCATTTAAAGAAGAAAAATGCTAAATAGACATGGCCTGTCCAAAGGCCCTGTCATTTTAGCTTCTCTCTTTAAAGAATTCTATTGCCACATAAAGCTTTGTGGCAGAAAAGTTAACTCCCGTTTGGTTCTCATTAAATTACATTATATTTTTCTCTCTTCTATTTTCAACCACACAATTTTTCATAAATAATATTACATATAAATCGAAAACTTTTCTCTTTCTTTGAACCACTCATTTTTCAAAATAACACTATTTCATCCATTTTTATTTCCCAAAAATGGGGGCCAAACGGGGCCTTATTCTTTGGGCGACAAAAACACGAAGTGGGAGAAACGCCACTATCGGTTAGGTTGCTTGTTTTGAACGCGATTGCTCCAGTCCATCTTCTCTATCTTCGAACCAAGGTCATTACGCAAGAATGTATGAATTTTTGTTGGAATTTTGTTGTTTAATTTGAGCTGAAATTTTAGTTACCAGTAAATTGACCTGTATTTATAGAATGTTAAACATTGCTGGTTATGAGGGTGGGTGTGGAGGAAGAGAGGAGGAGGTGGTGGTGGTGCAGTATTGGAGGCAGAGATAAGAGAGGGTTTAGAGAGAGAGAGAGAAAGCGGTGGTGCTCAATCGTGGGGAAAATGCAGCTTACTTTGATTGACATTTCTTGTAGTTCAGCTTGTGAACTCTTCATGATTTGTACTGGGGCAGGCTTTGGGTCTGTTTGATAGAAAGCTTGATAATTTGTAGACAAACTTGGGGGGGGGGGTAAGATTTTTGACATTATTCTATGTGTTGGAAGAGGAAGCAGGGATAGAAGACTCTAATTTCATCTTTACATCTAAGATTGGAAAGCACCCTACCAGTAGTGTGGAAAGTTGTTTTTGTTGGAAAATAATAGCAAATAATAGTGTTATCGTAATTTATATTTGGGCAGAGTAACGACGTTTGGATGGTTTTGAACGGTAAACAAACAACCTAGTGTTGTCAATTTATCCAAAATAAGGATGCCATTTAATAGTTCATTTCGATTACATTATAGTTTAATAGTTTTCATTAATTTAGTAGTTTATTTAGATTTGAGTGTTCTTTTAATTATTTGTTTGAAACACCATCTAAACTAAGTATGATTTTCATGGCTCCACTTAGACCTAGTAGCAGGATTTGGCCATACCCCAACAATGAAATTGATACAATTATCTTTTAAATTAATACAAAATTCATCCTCCTAAATTCTTCTTCTCTTCTCCTCTCTAATTCTCATTCTATGTGAGTTCCGTATCAATTTGATATCAGAGCTAACTACAACAGTCACACACTTATATTCTGACACTGTCAAATTTATTACTTCACAGGTTACTGATTTCTGGTTGTGCACGCACACACACACACACCAGAGTATTTGGTTGAGTTTTGAAGCAGTGAACTTAGAGTACCAATACCAGAAACTCCATTGAAAGAATCAAAATTTAGATTTTGATGCTTGGGAGAATGCTAGACAAAAATAAGCATCGTCATTAAAAAAAAAAAAAGAAAAAAAAAGAGGAGGAATACTAGATAAAAATTGGAGCCGTTAAACAAAGTAGTCCACGACATCCAAAATTAAAATAAAATGTAAGCAACATTTACAAGTTCAACCACCATACTAAACACACAATAAAAAGTAAAAAGATAAAAACTAAAAGATATTCCGTTTTTAATGAATTGAGTATATCTTTGTTTCTCAAAATTACAAAAGAGGAATAATAAAGAAAAAAATTTCTAAAGATCCATCGGGTATATATGACACATTGAACAGAAATATTGATGTGCATACCTTAACTTCATCATAGAGCTTTTTCTCCCACGCCAGCATCTTGTCCAACACCGTTGCATGAGTCTCATGCTCTTCTGAATCAAAGTCGTCAACTCCATTATCTGCGGATAAACCTTTGAATGACCTATTCCATGTGATGACACGCATGACCCTTGTAGAATGATCAATGTGTCCTACACAAAGAAAAAGTTGTAGTATTTATACATCCACATGAATAACCCATTGCTCACCTGAACTTTAGGACTATATCGTTATTCGACCCCACACCAGCCATACAGACCTTGCATCTAATAAATATATTTACCTTATAGTTTTCATAAGTACACGGCTACAACAAATGTAGCAGAGGCATTTTTTTTTCTCAGCAAAGCAAGTTGTTATTCTTCAAGTGACCTTTTCATAATCGTCAAATGGTGAAAATATCATTCGAACACTGACAGGAAAGTAACACTAACATTCTTGCCAATCCAAACTAAAAATTTAGTTATCAGCATATTCTACATTTATAGTACAACTACAATCAGCAAGGCGAAAGAACTTTCCAAGATACAGTATTACTTATTTGATCTGTGAACTATTCAATATTCGTACTGACTACATTACTGTTTTAAGTTTATTCCGAGACCATTACTAAGCTATTCCAACCACATTAAACACCAATAACATATATTATACCTCTTTTATCGGCGAAATTTGAGTGATAATGCAAGCGGGTCGCCTCAAGTAACCTGGATACTTCATGAGCACTCTCATAAGCCTTGAGAAAACAATCATCAAGATCCAAAAATATTTGCAACAAGTTTGTATAACTCGGTCCACCTTTAGTTTTCCCTTCAGATGAAGCCCCCATTTTCACTCTCTTGGCCAGCTTTGTTGCCACTGCTGCTTGAGCCGGAGGAGCATGTGGTGGAAGATCCACTGTTCGTTCCACCACTTCAGTGGCTGCCTTCACGTGCTCAACCTTCCTCCCTCCATCAGCTTCACCATCAATTTCACTTTTCTTATTCCTTTCATCTCGCACTTTCCGCTGAATTTCATCTATATTGTACTGATCATCCTCAACATCCGCCAGTGTCGATCTTGGCACATCTGCAGAGAAGAAATAATCCCATGTCTCTTTATTCAACGGAGGAGGAGGAGGAGGAGGGACCGGGTGCTCACGCTCTCGTTCATTTGGCCGCATTGGCGAAGGCGGCTTCTGCAGGACCTCATCCTCAGTAGCCTCCTTATGTGAAAGTCTGCCTCTTGCACCCCCACTACCGCGTCCACTACTCTTACTGGTGCGATGCTTCAAATTGTGAGTGCTCTCATTGTCAATATCCTCTTCATTCTCCTCCTGAATAATCGTGTTCGAGTTCTTCAATTCAGTACGGAGTTCAGGAACGGTAGACGCCCGCTGAAGCGGTGAAGAAGTCGGACTATACGAAGGGGGCAGGGGAGGATGGGGCAGCGGAGGAGGAGGAGGCAGAGGAAAATTATCATAAGGCGGAAGCGGTGGCGGAAGAGTGGCATCACCAGCACCTCCACCCCCGCCGCCGGCGGGATATATGACTTTCCCATGAGCATAGTCGCTGAGAGCGGCGCCGGTGTTCTTCAAGGACATCGCATGGGCCGCGTGGGCCGACGCGAACTTGTTGCGGGCCGTAACAGCCCGCTCCATATATTGCTTCCGCTCCTTACATCGATTTACAGTTTCCTCGTTCTCGATCTTAGATTGCGTGCAGCCCATTAATCCCGCACCTAGAAATCTGCAAGAAATTACAACACACACACAGTGATTGCAATTAGAGAATTGCTTTTTCAATTTCAATCTCAAACACACTACAAGAATTGGATTTTGGATCCGTATTTCAATTTCAATCGCTTAGTGAAGAGGACAAATTGCTTTATTGCTTTTTCCTGTTTTGGAAGAATAATATTTACAAGCTGTGAAGATGACGCTTTGCTTGCGAGATCAGACCACGCTGTCGTTTCACTACACTAAAACGCCAAACGACGTCGTCAGATATTCTTTACTGTCGTCAAAGGGAATAATCTTTACAAGCAAGAATGACAACCGAAGCCCGTTCGTAAGTTAAAAAAAGAATTTTGGAATAGTCAATTCTGAAAAATATATAATTGAAAAGTTAAAAAAAAAATTAATTAATTTACGTATAAAAATATTTGTAAGATGTATAGTTAAAAATAACTTTAAAAAAATATTTAAATAAGAATAATGCAATTTATACTCGCTCATTACCATATTCGTATTATATGACATACATATGACGATTAATAATTTGATACATTAATATGGTAACTTTTTATTATCTTATACATGAAATCACTAATCAACATATGTATGTTACGTACGACGATCACTACTTTGATACATTAATATGATAATTTTTTATTATCTTATATATCGAATTACTAATCAACATATGTATGCTACGTACTACGATTACAGTAGTGAGCGATTATAAATAATATTATTCTTTAAATAATGATAGATGGACAGGACTTACCAGTCTGCCATTGTCCACTAACAGCGGACATTCTCTGGAAGTCATTTAACTTGCAAATCTATTTCAAGTTGATCACCAAATTTTAATAAGTTTCAATTAGTTGACCCATTTTACATTTTTATCTCAATTTGACAATTCTTTTTATTCCTCTTACTAAACCCATAGTATATGTGAGCAAAATCATATTTTTAGCAATGCTATTTATTTAAATATTGAAAAATACAATTGTTATTTATTTTTTGTGTTTAAAAGAATATAAAGGTGAATTATATTTATACATATGTTGAATTTATTTTGTTAATCAAGTTATAATTTTGTTAGTTTTGATAGTTGTTATGGATGTAATAGTTAGAATGAAATATTTATTTTATCTATATTGAAATTTGTTTAAAAAAAAAAATTGCTGATATTTTATAAAATTTTGGCATAAATGAGGACATCCTATTTATTGTTGTTTTTTTTTTTTTTTTGATGAATTAGTCAACACACTTTAATTTATCTTTCAATGGTCACGCAACTAAGCCCCTCTTTGTACCCTTTTAAAATAAAACTCTTTAATTCGCATTCTCATTCTCATTCCCATTTTCAATAATATATTCACACAGTAAATTATTTAGTAATTAAATTCAAAATTATTCTCTACTCCTTAACCACATATTTTTCAAAAAAACACGGTTCAGAGCAACATTTTTTTTTTCGATAATGACCATCAAATATTGGCAGTAAATACAAGATATTGCTTGTGTGGATTAAAACCTAAATTTTAATTAAGTAAAAGTTAATAATTAATTTTAACCACATATTTTATGAGATTTATAACTTTTTAACTACATATTCATCAATTTTCATTGAAATCTAATAAAAATTTAATTTTAAAAGTATAGATAGAAATAACCAAATTATCACAAAAGCTATAGTTCAACCACCATCTCGACATGAAGTACAATTTCAGTGACTAACTTGAAACTTCAGAAATTTTGGTGAACAAAGGGAAATTCCGTTAAAAATTTTGACTACCGGCATTTTTAGCCCATTATTTGGGTCGGCAGAAATGAAACCTATGAAACTGATTGTCGAAATAATTCGTATAAATAATTGGCAATGAACGTCCAATTTTATTATTATTATTATTTTTTTTTATGAAAGTGTATACATTTCAATATATTATATTGTTTTGACCAGTGAAATCTTATTAATAATCAAAAGAAAATAAATATAAATTATGAAGTCCAGGAGGAGTCACTGAAAAGATGGGTCAAAGAAAATTTTTTATTAGCAGGTAAAAAATGAAAAAGTGGAATAGATGGATTCCCTTTATGAAATTCCCTCCCCACATTTGATGCTAAGAGATAAAATAGGATTCTAAGCTTTAGCATGTGAGTGGACCACCGAACACTCTTTTCCTTTTTCACGATAAGCAAATTGGGTAGTTAGGAATATGCCAATATGGCATCATCCAGCATATATTTTTGCACAAATTTGCATTTCCCCCTAGAGAATGTTGAGTGTACTTTTGTTACATTAATTTTCACGTTGAACTGGTTTAGTCCTTTGAATCTAACACACAGCTCCCGTTTGTTTTCCATTATTTACTTATTAAAATGAAAAATATTACCGTTAGCCACCATATCAAGCTACTATATTTGAAAATTTATCTCTTGTGTGAGATTCGTAACTGCTATATTTTTCATTCTTATTTTCCTAATAACGTGGCTCGAACGGGGCCACAATACTTTTTCTTCATTTTCTCACGCTATCAATTTTCAATCATATCCTATAATTTTATTAGTAGTAATATTTTTTTAAATAATATTTTGTCATATTGTAGCTTCTTCTTTTTTTTAATTGGTGGAACAAAAACGATGTCGTTTTCTATTTTACCTACAGTTTACTTGCTTTGAATCTAACACACAATACTTTTTCTTCATTTTCTCATGCTATCAACTATCGATCATGTTCTATAAATTTATTAGTAATAATATTTTTTAACTAATTTTTTACATAAAAGTTATTCTTTATTTCTAAAATGCAAAAAGTTACTTATAACTAAAAAGATCACTTCAAGTTATTTAAAAGTAAAACGAACTTATAATTGTAAAAATTACTTATAACTAAAAAAAATATTAACTTAAATTTTTTTAAGTATAAATATTTAGTTTTTTAAATTAAATATTGATAAAAAAGATTACACTATTTAAAATGTAAAAAGTTACTTATAAGTAAAAAAAAATCACTTCAAACTATTTAAAACTAATAAAAAAACTTATAATTGTAAAAGTTACTTATATATATAAAAATATTAATTTCAACCATTTTAAGTAAATATTTAGATATATTTAATTATTTTAGATTAAATATTAATAAAAAAATTACTATAAACAATTTTTAAAATATATATATATATGTATAGTAACTCCATGCAGGGAGTGAAAAATCACTCCTAAACACTCCGTGCATGGAGTGGAGTGATATCACTCCATACACGGAGTAAAAAAAAAGTATATATTTGCGTTTTTTTTATTTTTTTTTCCTTTTTCACTTCCTAGAGAATTTTTTTCGTTTTTATTTTCCCTTGTTACGCAACTTTACGAGACTCAAGATCCAAATCTAATATTTTCCATCTCTCTCTCTCTCACGCCACAATCACATTCCACGCTGCCTCTCCTATTTTTTTTGGTGAAATCGTCGATAGTGAGCAAGCGATCAGAGCCGACATTTTTCTTCTTGATGGCCACACCTGGTTAGTCTTTCTTTGTGTTCTAAGAAATTTTTTAAATCATATTTTTTTTCAATTTCTTCGAATTTTAGGTTATTATGTTTTTTTTCCCTATTATTTTGACACGATAGGTTTATCTCTACAATTTGGTGCTTTTTAGTGTAATTGTGTATATGTTCATATGTTTGAAACTGATTTTCTAAACCTGCTTTTTTTGAGAAACGAATAGTGATATTTGAAGAATTCAGTCTTAATGGTGTTAGTAGAGCTACAGTTCAGTCCAGCATTCTCTCGGGCCTCTTATCTGTGGATGGCCGGGTCATCTGTAAGGTGACTTATTTTTCCTCCGTCTTTACTTTTTTGAAGATATAAAAATCTAATTCTATTGCTGAGTTTTTTACCATATGAAACGATATTCTTTTATCTCTGTTTGTTTGCGTTTTTGTGTAGAATTTAAGTACTTAATTTCGTGCTTTTCATAAGATAGTGCTATGCAGTTTTTTATTCATGATATTGTGCATCTTTTATTCCTATTGTTGATCAGGGATTTTGATGCTTTTGTAATCATGTTAAAATGAAAACACAAGTACTCGTTGGGGATCCTGAGGAAAAGATTATGCTCTACCTAGAGACTTGGTACTTTCAAATTTTAATTCTTATTGCTGGTTTGCTTCCCAGTCTTGAAATTGTATTGGACTTTCTATCTTTTTGGTAAGGATAAATTTTACCATTTTCTTGTTTACTTCAAAAATCATTTTATGTTCTGAAAAACTAAAATAATTAGTTAATTAATTAATATGTAGTGTCACAGTCCTTAGATGGGTACTTATGATATATGTGGATTTCAATGTTACTGCAAGGTATTTATGATATCATTTATTTTCCGTTTTCTCATTTTCGGTTTGCTAAGTATTGAATTAATTTTTGCTCTTAATGAATTAAATTCATTACTTCTAATTAATTTTAATATACAGTAATCAACCCATTGTCGAGGTCCTTGGATGATATAGAATATCAGATACTACTACAATACAAAAGAATCGAGAATGATAAATAAAATTAAAATAAAGGTAAGTACAATGGAATGGCAAAAGAACATGAAATACTTGAATAAAAAGGAAGGCCAAGAGATAGTACACATACACCAAGCCACCAATGACAATATCAGCACCAAGTGAAAATTAACAAAAGATCATCTCTTTTAAATATGTATAAATCAAGCTTTTGGATATTCTGAACTACCAGTCTTTTAACTGATTGTTGCTTGTCTATGATCAAGAATGATACCAAGAGGTGATAGTGTGTTTAAAATAAAATCTGCACAGAAAACTGCTGTACTTTCCTTAGGGGAGCCCCAATTGAAAATCTAGAGGTTTTGTTATGTGAATGTTTGCTTTCATGATTTTACACCCCCAAACCCGTAAGGAAATGATTTTTTTTACATTTAATGTTTTAATCCGAAATGGAATTGATGGTTATCTGGTTCACATACGTTGATACTCGTTTGATGAATAATGTAATTGAATGTGATTGTTAGTCAATTTTATGTTTCTTTGTATTGAAACTTTTGGCTTGATGGTGTTGTTTTCCGCAATAGAACTTTTCCAATACGTTTTGCAATTGGGTTTAAATTTTCTTTGGATCCTTGGGAGTGAGTTCATCTTTCTTCTTGTTTGTTCCTCCTAGCCCAGATAGATCTTTATCATTATATGTTCCGCAT